TCCCCAGCCTCTTGGTCCCAGCAGTTTAGTGTCCCAGTCCCCAGGCTCCTCCTTGAAGTGTGCCTCTTTGCCCTGCAGCCATCGCCTGCCCGGTGCTCAGTGCGCCAGACCGAGGAGAGCTGAACTGCTCCCACCTCCATGGGAATTTTGCCTTTGGCTCCACGTGTGCCTTCTCCTGCCAGATGGGGTTTGCACTGATGGGGCCAGAGAGACGCGAGTGCACGGCCACAGGGACCTGGACTGGGGACACTCCACGCTGTGAAGGTAGAGTTGCTGCTTAAGGTGTCACAGGCCTTGGGTTAACCCTAGGATGATCTTGGATGCCATGGTCCTCTCATTCCGACAGTTTAGCCTTGTAGTCCCCAGGCTCCCACTTGAAATGTCTCTCTGTCCCTGCAGCCATCGCCTGCCCGGTGCTCAGTGCGCCAGACCAAGGACAGCTGAACTGCTCCCACCTCCACGGGGACTTTGCCTTTGGCTCCACGTGTGCCTTCTCCTGCCAGACGGGGTTTGTGCTGATGGGGTCAGAGAGCCGCGAGTGCACGGCCACGGGGACCTGGACGGGGGATGCCCCGCACTGTGAAGGTAGAGCTGCTGCTAGAGCTCAGGGTGTCACTGATCTTGGGGAACATGCTTGCGTCTCCCCAGCCTCTTGTTCCCAGCAGTGCAGTCTCCCAGGCTTCTTTTTGAAGTGTGCCTCTTTACCCTTGTAGCCATCAAATGCTCAGCACTGGCCACCCCCAGGATGGGCCAGGCTGCCTGCTCCCACCTCCATGGGGACTTTGCCTTTGGCTCTACGTGTGCCTTTTCCTGCCAGACGGGGTTTGTGCTGATGGGGCCGGAAAGCCGCAAGTGCATGGCCACGGGGACCTGGACTGGGGACACCCCGCGATGCAAAGGTAGATCTTGTGATCACACGTGTGTCTGGAAATGCTCTGTTGTAGCAGACTGCTTTCCCCAGCATCCCCTTCCCCTTAGCACCCCTGATCCATGGCAGCTCATCCCCTGGCTCCCCAGCCCATGTGTCCCCATCCCACCACTATTGGTCCTGTCCTATTGATGCTACCACTGTGCTTTATCTCCAGCCATCAGCTGCTCGGTGCTGGACCCCCCCAGCAGAGGCCAGCTGAACTGCTCTCACATGCACGGGAACTTCACATACAACTCCACATGCACCTTTTCCTGCGAGGACGGGCTTGTTCGGATGGGAGCAGAGGTGCTCCGATGTGCGGCCACAGGGAACTGGACCAGGCATCCCCCTGTGTGTGCAGGTACGGTGGGACCCCCCACCACCGGGAACTGGGCCAGGCCGCCCCCTGGGGGGTCAGGTACGGGGGGGCCCCCCCCCCCCCTAGGGGGGGGGGGGGGGGGGGTAGCTTTCTGCAGCACATCTTGAACATGGCGGGGGGTACCCCAGCAGCTTGGGTGCCGTGAGGTCCTTCTGACAACTTTCTAACCTGGGTCTCCGGATCTGTTTCAGAGGACGGTGCCCCCTTCTTGAAGCAAGTCCTGGCTTACAGCAGCGGCACGGCTCTGGCGGTAGCCGGCATCGTGCTCTCAGGGACGCTCATTGCCCTCCTTGCCAAGCGGCTCAGCGACAGAGGTACAGAACGCCTCCCGCAGCCCACCGTCGCTTTGGCCAGGGGCTCTCAGGCAAGGTGGTTACAGAGTCCCAGGGGAGGGATGGGATGATCAGAAGAGTTTAACAGTGTGTCTGCCTCAATCCACATGTCTTATTTGCTGTGACTTGCTTGGATCCTTGGCAGTTTGTCCAGCTGAAAGTGTCAGCAGCCAGGTTTGGGGGGCAGAGCCAGAAAAATACCTTCGTTATGAAGGGGAAGAAGGCAAATGCTTCAGCCCCTCCTCCCCGCTCCATCCCATGCTTGTCAAACTCGGTTCAATTTCAGACGCTGCTGCTGCAGCTTCTCACGTCCTTCACTAAACAGATCTGGTTATTTCTTTTCTATCATCTGTTCCATCCCCATGGACATTTTGGCACTGTTATCAGAGGAGAAGAAGAAGCTCCTGAACCCCACCAGGTGAGAGCCGTGCTCTGCAGGAGGGTGGCTCTGCCCCGTGCCCGTCACAGCCCTGTGGTCGCCCCGCTGTCACCCAGACCTGCCTGTGCGAGGCTGCTTTTCTGTGCAGCAGGAGCATCCTCAGGGCTGACGGGGCTGTGCTCACCCACGCCTGTCACACTCCCGCCAAGCTGACACCCTTGTGTCTGTTTTCCAGTGACCTAGGATCACCCGGCATCTTCACCAACGCAGCGTACGACGCCAACCTGTAAGGTGAGCGCCGGCGAGATGCTTGTGGCGCCCTGCGCTCTCGCAGCATGCGGGAAACGTTCCCCCCTGCTTCTGCTGGGAGTCACACGTGGAAAATTCACCTGGGCAGCCATCCTCCGGGCTGGGGTGCTGCCAGGTGGGGACACCCCTTGGGAGGGGAAGGGGGGACCGGCTGCTTTCTGTGCTGCTCCGAAGGGGCTAACGCCAGCTCCGGCTCTCCTGTGCTTCCAGCCTGGCCGTGACCAAAATCCACCACGTCCCCCAGCGCTGCAGACCCGGCGAGAGCTGCCGCCGGGGCCCAGAGGGACCCCCGCCTCCGGCCGCCGTCCGGGCGGAGACCGCGCCCACGCTGCGTGCACACCCCCACCCCGGGGAGCGGGGCTGCCTTCCTGCACCGCCCACGCATGAGGACCTCCGACGAGCAGCCTGGGGCCGGCCGTGACCAAAATCCACCACGTCCCCCAGCGCTGCAGACCCGGCGAGAGCTGCCGCCGGGGCCCAGAGGGACCCCCGCCTCCGGCCGCCGTCCGGGCGGAGACCGCGCCCACGCTGCGTGCACACCCCCACCCCGGGGAGCGGGGCTGCCTTCCTGCACCGCCCACGCATGAGGACCTCCGACGAGCAGCCTGGGGCCGTGGGGCCGCCTCCGCCGCCGGCCCCTTCCCCTCCCGGAGCTGCCTCCCCCCCTCGGGCCTTCCCCCGCGGCTCCCCCCACTCGTGCTTCCGGCGACGGGCTTGTGTCAGCCGGGCCCGAATAAACGCCTGTCTCTAACGA